TATAGTTAGTACATTTTGTAATAGGTTAATGTTGAGTATGTTTCAAACAAAAACCTTGATTCTATGGAATTAACACCACCAATTTCTGTCTGTTATTAACGTTACTATGGCATTTTTAATATTGTAGTTCTTTTTTTTGGAGAAAAGTATATGTAAAAAGTGAAACTGGACAGTTATGAATATATTGCCAACATATCTCATCCCATCTCAGCAGATGAAGTACCAGAGGCAGTAGCAGTGTTTTTTTCTATTACTAAGTTTATTTGGATTCCTTTTGAATCTATTGTTCATTGTATCATTCATCAGATTTTACAAAAATTAAAGCTAATATTTTTGTTGTGAGTGCCAGCATGTCGAATGTTGTAATGGCAATGTCAGAAATTATATTTTATATCTTGAGTTTTCTGTTGATTCAATCATTTTTCTAGAAATAATTAGCACTGTATGGAATCTGCAGGCCCTGATGACCATTATTGACATCTTTGAAATATCTTTTGATCGCTATTTAGCCGTGTTTAAGCCTGTGATCAAAACACTCGAACAAACAGCTACAAAATTATTTGTGGAATTATGTGGACTTATTCTTTTCTATTACCAAGCTTACTGCATTTATTAACTTTAAAGGTGAATACCTTTGAAGTGATATTATTTTTTCTTTCGTTATTAGTGAATTAGGTCTAATATTATTGGTGATTTCAAGTATCTTAAGTGTTTTAGTGGTAAAAAAAGTAAAAGAGAAAGAGGTACTAATAAGCAATCTGAGAAAGAAAAGCAGTTTGAGAAAATCTTGGCAGATGGCAATTACCTTAATAAGTTGGACAACATTGTATGAATTTCTCATTGTACCATTAATAAAAGAAACCTTGTTCTTACTATGTTGGATAGAGCATTTAAATTATCTTCAACAAACGAAATTTTTGAGAAAGAGGCTAAGGAAATTGAATTAATGTTTCTAAGGTTAAAATATCCACAAAACTTAATTAATAACATCCGAGATTTTATGCAATCTAAACGTAATGACGTATCTTGCAATGAACCAGTCATTACAGATGTAAATAGGCCTACTAGTCAAGAAATGAATGAACAACCTGTTAGAATTGTACTGCCTTTTAAGGATCAGCTTTCAGCACTTAACAAACAGTCAGACTCTGTCAGAGCAAAGTTGTTTATCTAATTTTAACTAATTACTCTAGCAGAGATAATCTCTTTTCAGCTCCATGATACTGTGCTATTGTATTAGTTTTCACTCATGTGACTGTTAATCCCTTTCATGTCACCTACACTTGGTTTACTATCTTATATTTATTTTTGTTCACTTGATCTTGAGAATGCGTCCATGATGGACACGAAACGTCGATCCTTTTTGTCAATAAATTTTGTGTTAAAATTCTAATATTCTTGTAGAATTAACAGAATTGTTTGTGTGGTTTTCCACTTTACTATTTCCTATATTACACTGGACACATCTTCCTGGTTACAGACGTTCCCTAATGATGTTTTTTCGACGATCAAATGAGGTTGCTGAAATAGCTACTATATCCTCATGAATACAAGTGATCTGGTTGCTCAGTGAGTGAGTTAAAATGTACCCGCTTTAAAGAGTATATTAGATACTGTTTCTAATGCCAAAGTGAAGGAAACATTTTAAAATCATATTTCTTTAAAATTCGTATTAATATGGAAAGTTTCTGTGGAAGGTAATTTTGTGTTGCGAAATGTGGCTTGACATTAGCAAAACGAAAAGAAATGGCAAATAATGGAATAGAATTATGTAAACTTGTAGATGAGGTGCTTTTAAATTGTTGATACAAAAACAAATGAGAAATGGTAAATTTGAATATCTGTCGCTTCAAACTGTGTCCTTGATACTTACGGTGTAATGCTTAATATAAACAAAGCTTAGATTGAATTCATTAATAATAATAATGAGAAAAGACTAAAAGTCGTTAAATGACCCAATAATATTTACATAAATCCATACAGAATCCATCTTATTAAATCCATCCATCCATCACTCAGGATTCATAAAGATTGATAGAGCCTCCAAAATGCTTTTATTATGAGTCAGTTGCTAAGCTTTATCCTATTTATTTGACATATCAACTAATGTAATATAGATTTAATATATGCCAAGTTGCTTATAAAGGCAACAGTTACCAGTCTATGATTCAGTATTCAGCAACCATTTTTGAAGGATATATATATAAACTATTGTATATGGGATCAGAATTTATTGTAACCAGTACCGTTTAAAGAGAATCATTCCAATTTATATACTGTGTTTTTATTTAAACTTCTGTTTTTCTACAAGGCTGTGATAGAAGGTGGAGGAGATAATACTTCTAAACAGTGAACATGTTTTTTGTGAACATCTTGAGAGAAAGATACAGTCAACCTCTACTATTTACGCCCTCTATTGTTTTATTGTAAATAGCAAAAATGGACAGTTATGAATATATTACCAACGAATCTCTTTCAAACTCCATAGATGCCCCTTCCATAGTAGTGTTTCTTTTAACACTTAGTTTCTTCGAATTCTTTTTAAATCTACTGTTCATTTTATCAATCTTCAGATTTTACAAAGTTCAAACTAAAACTAATATTTTTGTCTTGAGTGCTGGCATGTCGAACGCTGTAATGTCAGTGTCAGGAATTTTATTTTATATCTTGAGCTTATCTGTTGATTCTATCATTTTTCTAGAAATAACTAGCACTGTATGGAATCTGGAGGCCCTGATGACCATTATTGACATCTTTTTGATATCCTTTGATCGCTATTTAGCCGTATTTAGGCCGGTTGGTTATCGAAACATACCAACAAAAAGCTACAAAATGATCTGTGGAATTATGTGGATTTGTGCTATTCTATTACCAATTTTACTGCATTCAATAACTTTAGGAACAAGTAGATTTGATGTGTTTTATTCATTTTTTGTTGTTTTTGCTTTCATTATTTGTGATTTAGGTTTAATATTATTGGTCATTTCAAGTATTTTAAGTGTTGTAGTGGTCAAAAAAATAAAAGAGAAAGAGGTACTAGTCCACAATCTGAGAAAGAAAAATAATTTGAAGAAATCTCGGCAGATAGCAATAACATCAATCAGTTGGACAATATTATATGTATGTCTCATTGTACCATACTTAATAATTTACCATTTACTTGTTTCATGTATTGAATTTTCTATTCTATGTTTCAGTGATTATGTTAGTTTAGGGGCTGAATTGTCCGTGTCGTTTTACATTTTACTATTTCCCATATTGCACTGGATACGTTTTCCAGGTTACAGACGTTCCCTTATGATGTTTTTTCAACGATCAAATAAGGTTGCTCAAATAGCTACTGTATCCTCATAAATACCGGTAAGTGGGAATATTAGGGCTGTTTATAATGCCAACGGGATGGAAGCGCTGAACAGTTTTTAAAATATTTTTTGAAAAAGGTGTGAATGATGAATTTATGTTTTAAGTAATGGAATAACATTTATGTATAGCTCTGTTTTTCAGTAGAAATAGACCTTTATGCTTTTATAGTTTATTCATTTTCTGATTGAATTGTGTTTTATACAATTCATCCTCTTTCAGCCTTATACTTGCCAATCTGTTCATGACCTGTTTTGTCATGTTTACAGTGAATAGACCTGTCTTATCTTTTTTTCTGTCTTGTCTTTTTGTCCTTATGATGTTTGTACCTATGTGACACTTTATTACATTTTATTCAAGGTTAATCTGTAAGTATATCTTTTATGAATGTTAATTTTATTGCATTAGTAATATGAATGATTCAAATATTTTGACAAAGGACAAACGCAATTTGACTTGTCACTCTGTCAAATCTAATGATAGGGGCCATGTTTATCAAATTGATCAATTTTTAATTATAGTTTGTCCATAATAAGATCTCAATAGAAGACAAATTTTGAAAATTTATTTTGTAACTATTACAGAAATTAGTTTTGTCTATTTGAGTGACAGATACCTTAAATGACAATGAGGATGTTGAAGTTTAATGTGCTACCCCTAAATCATCTTAATTCTTCTTCTGTTTGGAGTTGTATTCCAATCTTAATGTGCTGTCAGTTTCCTTATGTTTGTGTCTTGAAGCTTAGTATCAAATAAACTCCACAGTAATCTAAATTCTCTCAAACCTTCAGCTGTTGTGATCTATAAGACATGACACTGCAGTAGTCTTTGTAATGTTTATTTTCAATGCTACTGAAGAAGATATTAGTTACACCTTACAACGTTCTTTCCAAGCTTTCGTTCGAGGACAGTGAGCGCACAGTACGGAGGAACCAACAGACCGTGACCGTACTCGTAACCAAGCTCCCGTCCTGTTCAGAAGCTGTTTCGTTTCCGTTTACGCGACGGGGAATATACTCAGCACCTTCACAAGTTTATGTAACACTTCGTGGTTCTAATTTAACATGGTGCAATATATTTTAGGTCAATTTTTCATATTCGGTAGAGTCTAGGACGTAGGCATTATTATAGGCTAGGCCTAGGCCGGACGTACTGTACCTTAATAAATTAGGGCCTAGGCTAGGCCTAGCTAGACCCAGGCCAGGCTAGAACCGAGCCGAGGCTGTTGATCTAGGCCTACAGTACATCTATATTTACTAGGGCTATACGACTTGGCTAAATCATATTCATCCTAAATTTATGTGTTGTATCACTGACTTTGAACATGAAACCATAATTTCATTAAAGTGTTATCATAAGTTAAACAACGAGATACATCACTCACCAATTCTGACTCCATTGTAATTGCCTTTACACTCGCTGCGTGATGCTGACATACAAGACAACCTCTTATCGTTGTGTTCTAAACCGGACGCTATTTTCAGTCAGAACCGTCCTCAAATTCCGCGGTACGGTGAGATGCAATCTTTCACGCATGCGCAGATGAATTGTCGGTTCTAATTACCGTACTAGATTTCTCCTGTACTGAAACGAAAGCTCGCTATTGAGGCCCACAGCAGTGGCAGATCTAGGATTTAGCAATGGGGGTGGATAATGGGAGGTGAGAAGACACGAGCGGCTGGGGGGGTGGATGGTTTTGGGAGGGGCATTCCCTCAAATTTGAGATTTTTTTGGAATTAGTAGGCTGCTAGACGATCTTAGGTGGCATCTGAAAAGAAGTAAGCTTAAAATAGAAAGTGTATGTTTTACCAGAGTACACGAGAAGCACACAAACAAGACGAGTGACCATTATTTTATTTTTCACGGTAAACGAAGGGGGGTGGCTAGCCACCCTATTCACACACCCCCCCCCCTAGATCCGCCACTGCACAGACATTTAAGCCATACTGCCTAGTGTGGTATCCGCATTTTATTAAGCTAATGTTGATCCATTGTTTCTCAAACATGCTTTTATAGATGTAGCTTCAAGAATGTTGGAAGGAAGATTGTTCCAGTGCTTGATAAATCTATAGCTAAAGAAGTTTGTAATTTCAAGGCTTTTTTGATATCTTTTGAGATATGTCTGCATGCACATGGATTTACTCTTGCAGAGTCAAGTATGTTCAGTGTATTTTTTAAAAGAATTATTGAAGCTGGTGTTCACAACAATAACCATTAATTATTCAGAAGAACAATTAATTGGATGTCACCATATTGTTATAAAGTTCAAAATTAAATTCTGGACACAGTTTAACTTATGTAGTAAACCTCTTTTAATAGTAAAAACTTACTAAATCAAGGAATTGTAAAAATACTGTAAATAACAACATATGCAACTAATTTCATGTCCTGTCAGTTTGGGGTTACCAATAGTTTTGTTCTACCTTTTTTATGCCAATTTCTTTAAAACTTTTCTAATTAACATTTAAGACAAGAACCAGTCAGCAATAGAATAATAAGTTTTAGAAGACATCTAATGAACACAGAAGGCATGAACCAATCTGCATTAGCTGGGTTAACCCATTTCATAAAAGGGTAAAAATAAGTGATGTAGACTATACCAATTTTGTTACAATATTTTCTTTCTCAGTTGATATTTTGCTGAACACACTGATTTGAACAAGAAAATTGAGTGCTGGTACTTTTTAATTGTTATTCTTTTCTTCTATTCGTAATATTTTTTCTGAAACAGAAACATAATCTACACTTTTCCAATCATGCAATCATCTGAAGACTATGTAAATTGGACAGTTCCTATTGACTCTACAGGCACTCTAAATTTCAAGATTGTGGTGTTTTTATCCTTGCTTCTCTTCATTGGATTTATTTTGAATCTTGCATTTTTCATATCCATCATCAGATATCCTCGGATGTGGACAAAAACCAATGTTCTTATAGCAAGTTGTAGCCTGACATATATTGTCACTACTATGGTGTATATATTTCTTATAGTAATAAGATACACAGAAGACACTCCATCGTACTTTATAGCCTTTTTGTATGCATTTGCGAATACAAATGTTTTATTGGCTATTATTTATAACGCATTGATTTCTATTGATCGCTATATTGCTGTTTCAAGACCAGGAATGTACAAAAATACAACATTGAAATGGTATATAATCACATGCCTTGTTTTGTGGACATTTACAATTGTATATGCTTTTACCATTAATACCTTAACATACAGTAATTATTCCTGGTTGTATATGTTCACCAAGTCTATGGCTTTTTCTATAGTTATAGTAGACTTTCTAGGTTTGGTCGTTATTGGAATGACTAGTTTATTAAACATACTTTTGTATAGAAGAGTGAAATTGACAGAAAGACTTACAATGCAACATACAAAGAAAAAAAGTTTGAGGAGATCATGTAAGTTGGCAGTAACACTACTGGTCTTGGCATTAGGCAATTTTATTTTACTCATTCCCTACTACTTCTGTGACATATATCTTCAAACGTATGGTGAATATGGTATTTTTTATGGAATAGTCTTTACAATTTCCGATACTTGTGGCGTTCTCTACATTCTGTATTTTCCCATTTTATACTGGATTCGTTTACCAAATTATCGTGAACACATGAAAGCAGTATTGTTCTGTAAAAGATTGAATCAGGTCCAGGATGTATCTGGCTTCTAAATTTTGATATAAACATAAATTATTATATAATGCAGCACATAAAACATAACTGACCTTGAAATAAATAATGTTTTTTAAAGTTAAGAAGATAGTCCACACTAAAAACAGGCCCATCTATATGCTCGGAAATGGAACTCTCAGATAGTAAAAATGCTTTTTCAAAGTACTGTAGTGTTCCTCCTTGACAAAATTGTTGACTTCTTCCCGACGGGAACTATGCTCCAACCACCCCCCCCCCCCCAGACAACCCTCAACTCACAAGCATCGCAAAAGTCTAATCAAGGACCTGTAATCTATTCTATACTGGGAGTTGCAGAGCAAATTATGATTAAATGGCACTCATTCGGACTTAAAATTTGAATATTTTATCTCCATTTTTTAAAAATTTTGACAAATGTAGGGGTCCTGGGCGGCTGGGCATCCATCCCAGTGGATTAATATATTAATATGATATATGTCCTGCAGTCAATGTCAGAGACACATTATGCTGTTTAAGTATCGAGAAAGCCCTTTTGGTTATGTGCTATAGATCGAGGATGGGGTTCCTAAGGGTCGGTGGCCCTGCGGACCGCCGCACGAGAACTCATTGGTGTTACTCCACTAAGTATAGATAACTGTTCTATCTGGGTACTACATTCCGTAATAATGGCTAAAAAACCCTGTCTTAGGTCTCCGTTTGTTGGCCTTTTTACATCCTGATTCAAGAAATTGTTGGAAAAAAATCAGCGTCATGAATATACAGTAGCGTTGTGTTTTTCGTCTATCAATAGAAAATTTAAAATTAGTGAGTGGTAAAATAATCTATTTCTCCTTTCGCCCACTTCTCATGGGTATAATTATGCTACTTGGAAGAAACTGTTATAACTGATTTTATATTTGAAAATGTGTAATAACTTGAGTGACAAACTGATGGTCCCATTGAAAATTTTATCAGAAAAGCTGAACAAAACATTCATACAGTTTTCAACAAGACAGCAAAGGTAATTTGACTTGTCAGTCAGTGAAACCTAATAATAGAGGCTATTTTGTCAAATTCAACAGTTCTAATTAGGCTGTAGAATGTCATGTAATAACTAGTTATCATTAGGTGTTGATTTCAGTAGAAGACAAATTAAGAAATAGAAAACTACTATATATAATTACTGCAGAAACTTGTTTGTCTACTTTAATAATGGCAAATTGATGTTGAATGTATTGCGTTTCAATGTAATGACTATTAGTATGAACTAATTGTCACCACTTCATATCTAAGTTGTCTCAGTTCTTCTGCTGTTCAGATATATAAGACATCTTCAGATTAGTTTTTCAGTTGTTTCAAAATACACTGCACTATGCTTTGTAATGTTAATTCTAAATGCTACTAATTGCGAAGATTTGTTTTTGAAAAATTCATGTTTGCGGACAGTAGAGTATTACTAAATTGCACAGCCAAGCATTCTGTGCCTTAAGAACAACAATTACTACAACCATCATTTTTACTGATAAGAGCTGTAAGAATTACATTTGTTAATGATGGTTTAACAAAATCTGATGTGGGAAGTATGTAAATTTTCATCTATTGTATCTTCCTTTCATGGACGTCTTTTCTGGCCAATGTTTTTGCTGCTTGTACTGATTTATAAAGAAAAAGTCAGCAAATTGAAATTTTGTTTTAAAGATAGTTTTCATAATCATGGAATCATTAGATCAGGTAAATTGGACAGTTCCAATTGAATTTACGACAGTCATGCATAATTGGAATTCGTTTTTGCCTCTCTTAGCCTTTCCTATTTTACTTGGATTAATATTTAATCTTGTTTTTTTAATATCCATCGCAAAATTTTCTCAGATGTGGACAAAAACCAATTTGTTTGTTGCAAGTTCTAGTTTGTCCTTAATTTTGGCTTCTTTGTTATACATTCTTCTTGTGATATTGTTTGAAATAGAGAATTCTCCACAGCAGTTAATTTGCCCTGTGTATACCCTTCTGAATGCCACCACTTTGTTGATAGTTATTGAAATCGCAATGATTTCTATTGATCGCTGCATTGCTGTTTCAAGACCAGTGATGTACAGAAATACAACATTGAAAAGGTATATGATTATATGTCTCCTTGTGTGGACATTTACCATTGTATTTGCATTCGTAATTATCATCTTACTATATAAATACAGTAGAAAGGTATTTTATATTGCTGCAGTAATAGTAGACAGTGTGGGTGTGGTCGTAATAGCAATTACTAATTTATTAAACATATTTTTGTATAAAAGAGTGAAATGTACAGAGACACTTACAACACAACAAGCAAACAAAAAATGTTTGAAGAAATCACGTCAGTTGGCATTGACACTACTTGTCTTGGCATTTGGCAATTTTGCTTTTCTTTTACCCTATTTTGTCTTTGATTTATATATCATGCTTTGTGGTGATGACTGCCATTTTGTTATGATTATTTTATCAGTCGCTTATATTTGTGGAACTCTCTATCTGCTGTTTTTCCCATTTTTATATTGGATTCGTTTGCCAATTTATCGAAAATACATAAACGCTGTAATTTTTTGTAGAACAATGAATCAGGTTGAAGATTTAACTACAGTAGCTAGTAAATAATTTTTTAACATAATTTCTTAATTTTAAAAGCTGAGTTAATGGAGATTGGATTAAGAAGAATTTGAAAATAATTAATATTCCTGTTGTAAATCCATTGGATGAAGTATATCATTGAATCAATTTTTGTCAAGGAAACTGCTGATTGGAACACACTTCTCCAATTTGTATTTTTAAACGTACAATTATCAATACTTTTTTTAACAAGAAAAAAATGTGCAATTTGCTGTATATTTTGCAGTGATTTTGAAACTATTTTTAGAACTTGCTTACCAGATTCTCATTTGAAAGCTCAGACAATGAAATATGCTTATTGGACTATATTAACATCTTATTCTGTACATAACTCAACCAATCAAGATGCTGCTTAGAAGAATTATATTTTGCTTTGCTCAGCCAATTAAAATGCTGCTTGGAAGAAATAACTAAAATATTTAAAAGTTTTGCTAGAACTTGAGTTACAACTGCTGATACTGTATATGTGAATGGTCAATGCGAGTAGGATGTACTATGGTAAATACCTGTATGAAAGTATTTATCTCCAAAAGAAAATACAATAATCACGAAAAATTCTACACATTAGTCACTTTGTGTGCGCTGCACCACTGCCTTCGTAATGTTTGGTGTGCTAAA